TAACTTTTACCCAATATCCCCTTTTTTATCAAAATTTCATTCGAATCACTAAAAGTACTTGAAAGAAAATTATAATAAATCAAGAAAAAATTTTAAGACTTTACCTTACTTTTAATTTTTATGAATGCTGTTACTACAACTTATAACTGACTATGACACTAAAAAGAATACAAATAGAAGCAGACAAATAGTTACTAGCAGATATGTATTACAGCTGCACAATATTTTATATTTATACTATTATTTATAAAGTCTGCGGAACTATTTGTAATATTATTTTAAAGTTATGAAACGGAAAAGAGGGTATTTTAATAGGTTTGTTATTTGCACGCAAGTAAAAATATTATTTATGTTACCAATATATCACAGAAAATGTGGAAGAGTGATAAAAATAGGCAGATAAGAAAAATTATGTATATCAAGTTGATTGGAAAAGTTTGTAAATATATTGTTTGGACATGCCGGTTTATAAATAGGAAAATATAAATGCCACAGAAATTGCCTGTTAGAAGATCAGCAAAGCGTATACAGGGTGGTCCGAACTGTATTCCGGAAACTTCGGCAGCATATTCTGCAGATAAAAATAAGTAAAAAAGTTCTGTTATCGACGCCTATGATCCTTATAATAGGCAGTCCTTTTCACGCCGTGCCTGCACCCCGTGTCCGCTGATGTTGGCGAGTAGCGGAGTAGTAGGCTTTGGAAACAGTTGAACGTCAGAGATTGTTGATTTCGGCCCAGGGAAGACATTGTTTGTCAAGCTAGTTAGAATTATATTTTAAATATCAATTTCTGTTAAATATATTAATCTCCCGATTACAGTTCGTATAAATGTATGTCCTAAATTGCTTAGTTTCTGGTGTCTGGGAGTTTTTCGACATGAGAAATTTGATTTTGCTGTCAATATGGCTCCTATTAGTAGAGGGCGCCACCTACATGTGTTTTAACTGTTTTGAAGCGTAATAACTTTTTGTCCATACCTGTATAAAACTACCGAGAGTAAAAATATGCATCTCTGTAGCTTTCTACGTAAAAAATATCTCTTTGTAAAAATCGCTACGATCAACCGTTCTTAAGATATTTAGAATGGAAATAATCAATACATGTCATTATTGACGTAAAAATAAACACCTTGAGTAGATAGTTATTTCACTGAAATAATAAATTTGGGAAATATCAATTTTTTTAAATTAATCATAAATTTTTCTCCAAAAAATGATGATAAAACAGCTTCTGTTGAACTTTTGGCACAAAAACATTTCAAATTTATAATTTCAGTCTAATAACTATTTAGTCAACATGTTTAATTTATGTCAGTGATGACAGGTATTGATAATTTCGATTTCAAATATGTCGAGAACCATTATTCGTAGAGATTTTTACCAAGAGACCTTTTTCACGTAAAAAATGTCGTAAATGTATATTTTTTTACTCAGTAGTTTTATACATATACGGACGAAAAGTTATTACTCTTCAAATCAGTAAACAAATAAGTAGGTGGCGGTGTATATTGACATCAAAATCAAATTTCTCATGTCAAAAAACTTTCAGACACCAATTTTCATCCAAATATTGACGTTACTTCAGAAATTATTTGGAAAAAATCGAAATGAAAATGAAACTTCTGCACCCTGTATCTCCGAAAGTAAGCATTTTATGACATACATTTATACGAACTTTTTTACTTATTTTTATCTGCAGAATATGCTGCCGAAGTTTCCGGAATACAGTTCGGACCACCCTGTATATAATATATAAAACGTATGATCATCATGATGACTATCTATGACACTGTATCTGTGACACTCCTAGATCATATATACGTGATACTGTACGTATACAGGGTGTTTCAGAAAACATGTGCCACCTCTCCTGGGGAGAGTCCTCAAGTAAAAATAAGATTAATTTTTCATATCAACATAGGTCCAATTCTGCTTTGTTTCGTAGCTACAGGGGGTTCAAGTGTTCATTTGTTTTCGATTTATTATAATTTTCTTCCAAGTGATTTTAGTGATTAGAATGAAATTTTGAGGGTAAAAGTTATTGTGAGTGCTATACAGGGTCCGGCAATAGTGCGTCTGGCATCGGTAGCTCCTAGAATAAAAAAATTATTTTTTATTTTAGGAATTCTATAGGAATTTTGTTTAAGTGCAAATCTAAGGTATGTACTAGGATGTATTTTAGGAAAATATTATAACTTCAACAGGGTGGCTCAAAAAAGTGTGAGTGGATCAGACTATTTTTTTTTAAATGGAACACTCTGCATATTATGGCATTTTTGGCTTTCTTTCAGATCACTTTACATAATCCTAATATATGGGTAAATATGTTTCGAAAGATTCAGAGAAATAAATAAAAAAAAATGTTTTTTTTCAACCTTTCTTAAAAAAATATTAAAAATACAAGAACAGTCCTGATATCAAAATTATATTAGGTATTTACTTTAGATGGTCTATACTTATTTTACTATAAATATCGTAATCTTAAATCATACAGGATGTTCAAAATTGTGCGCCAAACTTTCTAAAATTAAAAATAGTTTTTCTTCGTTTTTTTTAACACCCTGTATATTATTTTTTTAATTGATAGATAATTAAAATATGAACATTCTTTGTATTTAAAATATTTCAAATTTTTAACGGTTTCGCAGATATTCGCGGTCTTATTTTTATGTATAAATGACATTTTCTACAGTAAATTTTTATCAAAATCTAATCTTTTTATTAAAATCTCTTTAAAGTACATGCCTGACATAGTTTTGATTTCAGAGCAGCTAGTATTTCTAATATTTTTTTAAGTAAAGCTGAAAAATATATATTTTTTAATTTATTTATTAATACCCTTGAAACTATCAAAACATATTTAACAATATCTTAGGATTATGTAAAGTGATAAAAATAGAAGTCAAAAATGCAATAATATACAGGGTGTTCCATTTAAAAAATGATCCCGATTCACCCACTCTTCGTAGAGCTACCCTGTAAAAGTTAAAATATTTTCCTGAAATACATTCTAATACATACTTTAGGTTATTACTTAAACAAAACTTCTAACTTTTTTATTATAGGAGCTACAAATTCCCGACGCACTATTGCCGGACCCTGTATACTTTAATGCTAAAAAGTGTCAACATATTCAAAAATTAAGACTTTAACCGAAACGAGGCAGAATAGGACCTATGTTGATATTATTATAAAAAATAAATCTTATTTTTACGTAAGGAATTTCCCCATAAGAGATCACACATGTTTTTTGAAACACCCTGTATATCTGAAGGTATGGGTAAAACTTGATTTTCATGCATCCGTTGTCCGACGATACGATGATACGATATTAATTTTATTGGTTGAATTTAAAGGCTTCGATTGGTTAACCGTTTCTAACCAATCGAAGTGTTTAAATTCAACCAATAAAATTAATATCGTATCATCGTATCGTCGGATAACGGATGCATGAAAATCAAGCTTAAGTAAAGCAATTTCAACAAACTATACGTATTCGGCATTATATACATTTGCTTGCAGTCCCTTGCAGTTGCTATATAAAAATTCCATCTAAAGCCAATAAAAATAATGCAGAAGCAAAAATACGAATTATAAAATACGCCTAAAAATAATTCTAAAGTGAAAGCGTGACTGCCCCCGACTGTGCGCCCCCCCCCCCTCCCCCACAAACAGAAAAACACGCTAAAATTTTTATCTTGAATCCTACAATACCTTTCCAATCGAACGAGCATCACTGTGTTTCGAATGAAACTTAGAGGGTAAATTTACTATAAATGCGACATATATTAAAGCTAAAAAAGTGTCGACATTCATGTCGATATTCACCAGAAACGGACATATGGGTTATCACTGGAATATTTTCCTAAAAAAAACATGTACGCCACTGACTTTTTTTTTCTTGTTAGCGAAATAGTGTAAGAAATTTAATGCCGATTAAAAGTTGTCTCTTGATTTTTTGTCGATTTCGGCCTTGATGAGTTAAACACAATTTTATTAATTTGCCTTCATCCAAATCTAATCGCAACCTTTAAAAAATATTTATATCATTAACGTGCAAAAGTTTTAAATAAGTACTCATTTATTTCTTATCAAAAAATATGAAAAAAAGTTTCTATAAACATGGGTATAGAAATGCATAGTTCTAGAGTTACAGGATGTTAAAGGTTTTTAAAATTAGGTTTTTTGTAATTATCTTAAATACTATTATTGTTTTATTTGAAATTGCTGTAGGTTAGACTAATAGTAATAATAACTAATAGTAATAATATTTAATAGTAAATTAGGTAAAATATATAATTTATTAATTTTCTCTGTATTAATTAATTGTGATTAATAAAATTGCGTTTATCTCATCAAGGAGGCCGAATTCGACAAAATATCAAACGATAACTTTTAATTGGCATTAAATGACATACACAATTTTGATATCAAAAGAAAAAAGTTAGTGGCGCACATGTTTTTTTTTGAAAAATATTCCAGTGATAACCTATATGCACGTCCCTGATGAATTTATCGACACTTTTTCAGCATTAAAATATGTAGCACTTATAGTAACTTTTACCCTCAAAATTTTATTCGAATCATTAAATGTGCTTGGAAGAAAATTATAATAAATCGGAAGATTATTAAGACTTTAACACCCTGTAGCTACGAAACAAAGCAGAATCGGACCTATTTTAATATGAAAAAAAATCTTATTTTTACGTGAGGAATTTCCCCATAAGAGATGATACATGTTTTTTGAAACACCCTCTATATCTGAAGGTATGGGTAAGTAAAGCAATTTCAATAAATTATACATATTCGGCGTTATATACATTTGCTTGCAGCCCCCCCTTGCTGTTACTATATAATAATTCTATCTAAAGCGAATAAAAATAATTTAAAAGCAAAAATACGAATTATAAAATACGCCTAAAAATAATTCTAAAGCGAAAGCGTGACTGGCCCCGTCTGTGCGCTCCCCCACAAACAGAAAAACACGCTAAAATTTTTACCTTGAATCCTACAAGACCTTTCCATTCGAACGAGCATCACTGCGAAATACAATTTTAATTCGGGACCTAATGGAAATTGACCTCTCAAATTTAGGGTCGTAACTTCACCATTCCGTCACCGTACCCTTTTCAAGTCGCCGACAGGAGTTAAGTGAAGTTTTAAAAACTCCCGCTCCGAAACTTACCTGCTGGCGAATCGACTGTGCGGGCTGTTTGCAGTAGAAGACGGTAGCAGCGCAGTCGATCGCCTATATAGCCAACCAGCTGTTAGAATGATTTGTCGTGTGATTTATTATGGCTCGATTAATTGGTTATGGACATTTAACCCTTTCGTATTTGTATACGCGATGACCTAGTAAATTAGGTTTTAATATGTGTAATTTTTTAGATACCTACATTTTCGTATTTAATTATTAAATAAAAACATAATTATAAGATGCAGAGTTAAAAAATATAGCATACTACATGGTACCGTATGATCGAAACAAAACGGCGTCCAGTTGGTTAGGAAATGAAAATCGATGACGTTTTCCATACAGGGTGGCGCCTCTCATACGCCGCACAGTAGGCAGTATGTCCAAACCAATTTTCAAAAAATAACATCCACAGTTAGCATTTATGGCAATAACATTAGATTGGAAACATATTAGTTAAGAGGAAACCACATAAAACTAACAAAAAACCTTATTCGGAGTCTCTTTCGAGGGGCTGTAAAACGAACTTTGCGCAAAACCTACATTTTCAGTTAATTTGTGTCCAATAACTGCCTTTTTTCTACAATTTTTTAAATAGTAGGCGTTGCATTCAAGTGACACGGTATTATAACAATTGAATCGGACGACCTTAGCTTGCTGTCAGTAATTATTGTGAAATTGTCATAATATGTTTTACGTAGATTCCCGGTTGCGGTAAATTTAATGTCAAGGTAAGTAAAAAAGGATCTTTTATTTTGATTTTTTGGATAAAAACTAGGTAAAGGTCAAAGTAGAACATAATCATTTAAGGTTTTTTTGATAGTGGCATATATTCTATCTTAGAAAAGTTAAGTCAAAAAAATCGCAAAAAATCGCAACTTTAAACTTATTGGAAGTGTATGTCTCCATGCGTATGTGTATATTATGATCCTTTATGTGGATACTTCTCATAAATTAATTATTATAGTAGCTAGAGAAGAACTTGAAATATAAAGTTAGGTAATTTTTCTCAAGATTTCCGAAGAGGTATGTCATAAATGTCAAATGACATTTTTGGACAAATTGACAAATTTTGACAGTAGGTACCTAATTTTTTAAATTAAATGAAATGGATTTTTCTTTCAGATTTAAAAATGTGCACTTCGTGACCATTGCTTCCAGCTGTTATAAAACAAAATATCAGTAAATAGTAGGTGGTAAAATAAAATTTAGATATTTTTAATAGGTATAAGTTCTGTTATTTTTGAAATCGTCATTGTTTAAGTCTCAGAATATTGTTACTTATTTAAAATATAATAATAAAATATTGTTCACATATTGTCTGGTATTATTAGAGACCCGATTTATTCAAATGACAAACAATCTTGAATAAAAGTTCGACTGGATTAGTATACTTAGGGTTTTCTTTTATACATTGACACCCCCTTTATCTTTTTTATTTGACGTTTCCGAAAACTGTCTCAAATGAAAGTGGTTTTGAATAAATTTGCCAAAAAAGTCTATTTCGCATATCTAAAGTGCTTCAAAAAATCTGGGCGTGGTTCAACTATCTTATTTCAAATTAGGTATAGGATATGCTACATAAAAGTAGTTAGGATTTTTAGGAGAAAATAAAAAAAATAAATAAAAAATTGGGTACTAATTTTAAATAAGAAAGTTGGGCCACGCACAGGATTTCTAAGGCACCCGGTATATGCAAAGAAGACTGTTTTGAAAAATGTATTCCAGACCATTAAACTTTTATTCAAGACACTTTTTTTCGAAAACGTCGAATAAAAAAGATACAGAGGATGCCAATATATATACCTAACCTAACAAACCCTGTATATGCCGGAGGAGTAATAATTGCTCAATATTTGTCTGTTTCATCTTGGCTCTGCCAAAAATCGTAAAATTTAGTGAAATGTAAAATATTCTTACCGCATTTTGGTACCTGTATTAGTCAAAAGATGATTTTTCCATTTTATGAATCCCCCCCACCACCCCCAGCCAATTTCAAGTCAGCCAAAACTAACTGGGTTCACGGGCTACTGGCATAGAATGTTTTTACCAAATTTGAATGAAATCGTACAATAAAAGAATTCTTGCAACATACTTCTGGATTTTTGCCCACTGTGCGCCGTAGAGGCTCCAAGGAGAACGACAGTTAATATTGGAATGAAATTTTATGCCATATTAATACCAAACCAAAAAAGTTACATATCAAAGTTGTGTTTTTTGTAATGGAACACCCTATATATTAATTGATTTTCGGATTCTGGGAGAAAAATAAAGGTGAGTTTTATAAGAGAAGTATATGACTAAAATGTACGGTTTTTGACATATTTAACATTTTCTAGAAATAAAGAACAATTTAAAAATTACAATAAAAGCTACCTAAATTGGAATTTACCTAATATGTAGTTAAATTAATTTCTTTAATACGTCTCACCTTTATTTTTTTCCTAGAATCCGAAAATTAATTAATATATAGGGTGTTCCATTAGAAACAACACAACTTTGATGTGTAATTTTTTTTGGGGACACCCTGTATAATTCTATATATTTTTAAAAATGCTTTCAGTTAACCTACATATGCTGCCAAAATTTCATTTCTATATAAACTATCGTTCTCCTTGGAGCTTCCGCGCCGTAAGAGAGGCGTCACCCTGTATAAATTTACGTATAAAATAACATCGATCACTGTTTCATAGCCATCGCTGGCGCCGTTTTTTTCGACCATATTGTATTTCTGAAAACCATGTAAAAACTAAAATAAAACGCGTATTCTTCTATTTAAAGAATGTACAGGGTGTCCCATTTTTGTGTTTTTTTATGGAGTTTCTCATGTATGCGAGTAGAGATACAAAAATTCCGTTTTCTCATCGCTGTGCTACTTTTTTAGTTAAAGATGCTACACACAGACTTGTCCTAGCCTTCTTGTTTTATATAATACAGAGCGAATTTGAAAATGTTGCATTTTTCCGACTTCCTTTGTACCTACTTCGGTTATCTTATAACTTATAACTTATCGAAAAGATGAATACTGAGTTGCGTAGAGTTTGTCTAACAAACTTATGTTTTTTTAATGGGACACCCTATAGTATATTATTATTTTTTTAATTTATTTTCTTTATTATAGCTGTCTAAAATATAATATATTCTAGCTTATTTTTTCATTAATAAGGTAAAAAATGCTTAACTTTTTAACATAAATAAAGTTAGTTTAAAAGAGTATTATTAAGGTGCCCGGTGGTGTAGAGGTACAGGCTCTCGTCTACCAATCTCAAGGTGTGGGTTCGAATCCTACACCCGGTATTTCATCAGCCGACTATTTTTATTAAAATAAAAATAGTTTGGGTACCTAGGTCGACTTAGCCTTAAATGAGTACTTGGGATTCACAATCCTGAGGTAACAATAGGCGGTTGAAGCGTAGTGCTAGCCACATTACCTTCCTTGTATACCGAACGGCTCTAGTATAGCAAGCTGTACCTTGCTACTCCCAAGGCGTAAAACGCTATATACGGGAGCTGTTATTATTAAAAGAGTATTATTATTTTATTTTACTTTTTAACCAGATAATTTTGCTTTCTATCGTTCTATCTTAATAAATTGCAATAAAAGTCAGTCATGTAAATATTTGATACGTTAGAGTTGAGTTATATATATATATATATATATATATATATATATATATATATATATATATATATATATATATATATATATATATATATATATAACGATATTTGTTATTTTATATTATTTAATTTTTTATATTTTAATGATATTTTTTTGATGCACTTGTGATATAATTCTACACACAGAAACTAGCATGGAATACCCAATAATCAAAATCTGACGTCAAATAAATTATTTGATTGTGTTGATTATCTAATTTAAACCGGCCGCCTATATTAAAAAGTTAAATATTGCATTTTTTACCTTGTTTATACGTAAGTATAGTATATATTATATTTTTAGAAAGCTTATAACAAGGCAAATAAAGCAAAAAATAAAAAACAGGGTATCCCAGTTAAAAAGCATAAGTTTCGGTCATATTTCAAGAATGATGGCTCCCAGCGAAAATCTAGTTACCCCACTGAAAGGGTTCGAAAAATGCAACATTTTCAAATTTCGCTTTTTAGGATCTTAGGATCCAAAAGGGCTGGGACAAATCTGTGTGTAACATCTTTAGTTTCATAAAAAGTAGCAAAGTAATGTAAAATCCGCATCTTTGTACCTATACTCATAAGCGAGAAACCCTGTAAAACACACGAAACTGGGAGATCCTGTACTTTAAGAAGATTGGGACGAAACAGAAAGTACAGAATATAGGCTAAAAGATTTGTAGTACCCCAATAAGGCAGCATAATATTTTTAAATTGCAACTGGAATACTAACCCGGATATTGCCAAATTAATTTATATTGTAAGTCGGAACTCGTCAAAATTCAAACTCGCAAATAGAAGTTTATCACGGTCCTAGTTCACAAAATCACAATCGCAGCAAATTTGCAAATCGCAACTAAAGTAATGTTGGTTACCTAAATTGAAACTCGCAAATAGAAGAAATCGCAGTCGCAGTTTCTTATGAGAGCGAATCGTAGGTTGAGATTGCGATTTTAAAATCGCTGCGATTTAATCGCAGTTTGCGATTTGTTGCTCATATCTGTTAATTAGCACGTTGTAACAAAACAACAATTTTTGCACCTTATTTTAAAATGAATTAATTCTGAGCGATTTAACTCTAATTTGTTATTTGACTTATACAGGATGGCGCCTCTCATACGCCGCGGAAGCTCCAAGGAGAACGGTAGTTTATATCGAAATGAAATTTTGGCAACATATGTAGGTTAACTGAAAGCATTTTATAAAAATTTATATAGAATTATACAGGGTGTCCCCAAAAAAGTTACACATCAAAGTTGTGTTTTTTCTAATGGAACACCCTATATAATAATTGATTTTCG